GGAGCGACAGGAGGCGGAGAGACATCCTTGTTGTTGATCGGAGATGGCGCCTGCGATGATTGGCCCCGCTCGAGCTTTGCTCGGAAGAGCTCACGGGGAGGCTCTCGCTCGTCTCGGGGGTCTCGGCGGGCATCAGGATCGGCCCATCGGTCGTTGCGTTCGACGCGGTCGCGTTCGTCTCGTTCGCGACCCCAGCGCCCTTCCTGAGAGCGACTGCGAGGCCCAAACCTATCGCGCTCATCGTAATAGCCGCCGCCTCCTCCTCCTCCTCCTCCTCTGCCACCTCTTCCGCGATCCCAGCCTCGTCCTCGATCGCGCCCTCGGAAGCCTCCACCACGGGGGAAAGGCCCTCCAAAGCCGAATGCTTGGTCGGAATTGGAGGAGCCAGCCGAAGGAGGTCCTCCATCCCTTGATCCACGTCTGGAGCGTTCTGGTTCTACCACAAGACCAGGCTCGCGGTCTCGGAACTCGCGTAGTGGCGGGGGCGGCGATCGGCCTCTGCCTGGCGAGGGTCTCCTTGCGCGAAAGTTTTCTCGGCCGTCGCGCCAATCGCGATCTCGCTCTCTCTCTCGACTCCGGTCGTCTCGGTAGTTGTTGTCTCTGCGGTCACGGAACTCGTCGCGATCCCATCCGCGGTCTCTAAAGTCTCCGTCGCGATCACGACCTCGGTCTCTGCTGCCGTCACGGCCCCATCCTCGGCCGCGTCCTCGACCTCGTCCCCTACCGACGAAGTCGCCAGCGTGTCCACCACCTCGAGGACCAGCTGGTGGGTCAAGCAGGGCTTTCGGGCCGCGAGGTGGTTCGCGGGCTATGTTATCCCGGAACGGCTCGCGGTTGTTCTGGAAAGCTGAAGCAGAGCGCGTCTCGGCTGATGATCGCCTCCTATCACCATCGCTGTACTGGGAACCTCGCTCGTAGCGCTCCGAACGCTCGCCAGGTGATCGAGACCGGCGATCGCCGTCGTATCGTGAATTGTATCTTGTTGGATTCCTAGAAGACGTGTAAGCATTTGGGGGGAAACATGGCACACGGTACTACATTGATACACGTGGCATAGGCCACGGGTCTTTGCAGAGAGACTGAGGCGCGTAAAGAGAACATGAACAGCACCGGCGCTGGGTATCGCATGTCGCGACGGGAATCTTCATCATGGTTTGCCAAGGTACGGGTGGAGGGAATGCTCACATGGCTCCGGGCGGGCTACTGCCCTCGAGACGCCCTTGCTATAAACTTCAACACCATCCGTGATGGCCGTGGATGCAGTCGCGGAAGTGAATGTGGTTGAAATCCGGCGCAGTCTGGGTTTAGGTTTTGGGTGTCGACCACCGGTACGTTTGTCGAGGAACAGCAACAGACGTCGAATCTCCACCTGCGCAAGGGTCGCGCCGTCCGTGATGGGATGCACGTGTACGATACGTCGTTCTCGTGCCTGAATCACAGATCGTCTTCACGATGGGAGTCAAGTCGTGCTTCACGGCGTGCTAAGTTGACTGTGCTCGCCGGGAGGGGTGTTGTGCATTGGCGTGTATGGAGATTTGGATGTTGAAGGATTGAAGGATTGAAGACACTCAGTGGACTGTCTGGCCGGTGCTGGCAGTGGCACGGGCGCCGCAGCGAGAGACTAGGCCTACCTGGGCTCGTGTGTGCTTTCAGATTGATCCAGGCAGGGACCATGGACCAAGGACCAATGGATCGCACCTGGCCACACGATCAGAGAGTGGAGACACCAGCAGTTGGGGCAGCCACCACAAGACTCCCTCCTTCCCCCTTCTTCAGTCCTCAGTCCTCGGTCCTTAGTCCTCGGTCCTCAGTCCTCAGTCCTCAGTCTTCCGTCCTCAGGCCCTCAGTGCAAAAAGGGCAAAGAGCGAAGGGAAGGGCAAAGGGTGAAGGACGCTAACCAGGGGCGCCTAATCGGTCCCCGAAACGAGCTCAGCGGAGCCTCACCTGGTCGCATCCCAGGCTTGTTAGGTTCGGCCAGTCAGGCGGTTATCCCGGCAGTTCAGGGCATTTCAGCCTCCAGGTAAGAGGGGGGGGGGGGGGGCCGCAATTCGAGATTCGATGGTACTTCAGTACATCCAGGTGGCTTGTGCGTCTCCACTTGTTCCCCGAGTCTTGCACGAGTCGCGGATCCGTGCCTGGCAATCTAGGTACCTTCTAGTGGTAGGGTTTTCGGTTCTGCATTCTGCATCGTGCGATCGGTACGTACCTCTTCAAAGTCTGTGCAGTGAGTCTTTCTCAACGTCGACGACTCTTCACATGACGCGACAACTCAAGTAAAAGACACCAGAAGGGCTCTCAATACAGTAGATCCAGATTTGGTTTTCTCTTACACAGATTCCCTGGAATTTTCAACTTCTGTTACTTGAACATTGTGCGTATTGCACCAGCAAAATCAAGTCACCATTACCCGTCAGACAGACAGACAGACCCTGGGACAGACATCGTACCCTGGTCCGGCTGTCCTTCATCATGAACTCGACCGAGAGCAACGCCCCTCCGGCGGCAGCCACAGATGCAGTGCTGGTGGTTTCCGAGGAAATGCCTGAGGGGGCGCAAAAGGTTCAAGAATTGGATTTCGATGATCTAGATGGCGATATCACAGCCGACGATTTGTTGCGCGGCATGCGATACATGGGTTTCCAGGCCACATCTCTCGCAGACGCCATTAGGATCATCAATGGCATGGTAGGATTATCTCATTTTTTTTTCTTGCTCTCTGCCTTTGAGTTCATTCTCGGTCGCTGACGTGGCGACAGAGGGCCTGGAGAGACCCGGAGACGGGCGACAAAACCACCATCTTTCTGGGCTACACCTCGAACCTCATCTCGTCTGGCATGAGAGGCGTCTTCCGTTGGCTCGTCAAGCACAAGCATGTCTCCGCTGTTGTGACGACGGCAGGTGGCGTTGAGGAGGATTTCATCAAGTGTTTGGGCGACACATACATGTCTTCCTTTTCTGAATCAGGCGCGGGACTGCGGAAAAAGGGGCTGAATCGTATTGGAAACCTCGTCGTGCCCAACTCCAACTACCGCGAGTTTGAGGACTGGGTTGTGCCCATTTTCGACAAGATGCTCGAGGAACAGGAAGCCAGCAAAGGGTCCGAGGAAGAAATCAACTGGACCCCGTCCAAGATGATCAACCGCCTCGGCAAGGAGATCAACGATGAGCGATCCGTCTACTACTGGGCCTGGAAGAACGACATTCCCGTCTTCTGCCCTGCGCTGACAGACGGCAGCCTGGGCGACATGCTTTACTTTCACACTTTCAAGACATCCCCCCAGCAGTTGAAATGCGATATTGTGGAGGACATTCGCAAGATCAACACCATTTCGGTCCGCGCCAAGCGCGCTGGCATGATTATCCTCGGCGGCGGCGTCATCAAGCATCACATTGCCAATGCCTGCCTGATGCGCAATGGTGCCGAGTCTGCCGTATACATCAATACCGGCCAGGAGTTTGACGGCAGCGATGCCGGTGCCAGGCCCGACGAGGCTGTTTCCTGGGGCAAGATCAAGGTCGGCGCAGATGCTGTCAAGGTACGAAGATTTTTTGACGTGCCGTGGAAGTCAACTGACAAAACTATCAGGTTTATGCAGATGCCACTCTCGTGTTCCCATTTATTGTGGCGAACACATTTGCCAAAGATAGAAAGGCAACAGATGAGACAAAAAAAAACTAGAGCGGGGAAATCAAAAGACGATAAAGCATCACGAGTTATGAAGCATTGCGCATCCTTATTGACGATTGTCCGTGTCTCCTCGTCGTGTTTCTTGTTTTTATAGTATTCCTTCTTATCTGACTGATTCACCATCTCATATCTCCTATCTTTCCACATCCTCGATGTCATTCCCAACTCAGCAATCGTTTCTGGCTTCGTCGTCGTCCGGTTCCTACACAGCCCCGGCTCCGGCTCTCATTTCGGTCCGAACGCTCTCACCTCCTGCAGGAATCTGACAGGTCGGGCCTCGCCGACCGCTATCCGATCATATGCTGCCCAGGGGGCCGAAGCGTAGCTTACGGAAAACCTGCTTCGCCGCCCGGCTGCAGTCGGCCATCACTGCGTTGAACGTCTTGCGACGGATCAACTCGAAGTGAGCCCCCTTGGGTCTTCTTACCCCCAAGACGACTACTTCTTGTGCATGTTGGGACGCCAGCTGCGTCTAGGTCTTATTCGCATTATCGCGGCGGATGAGGCAGGCACTCATGACCAGCGGCAGGTCGTTGTCGTTGGTGATGGTGCCTCGCCGAATCGTCAACGAAAACTGGCAGCGCGCAGTACGCACTCAAGCCTTCCATTACGACAAGAGGCATACACCAAAAACCTTCAGCGTCGGGGACGTTATAGGACTTTCTACTAAGAACTTCCGGTTCAAAGCAGACCGAAAGCTGGCACCACGGTATATCCGGGTCCGGATTCTAGAACGGGTAAGCGAACAAGCTTACCGCGTAACACTCCCCGAGACCTACTCCAGAATGCACGATGTCTTCCCCGTCTCTTCCCTAGAGCCATAGCACGATCGCCGAATCGACGCCGAACAATCGGCTTACCTCCCTACGTTAGAGGACGAATAGGACGAGTGGGAAGTCGAAGACATCGTATCCCACAAAGAGGACCAAGGGTAAAGGTTCTATTTAGTGAAATGGGCTAGGTGGCTAGTGGAATATAATACCTGGGAACCCGAAGGCCACCTCGAAAATGCAGCGCAAACCTTAAAAAGGTACCAGAAACATCAGAGGCACAGGCACAAGCGATAGGACGAGTGACCGAATTCCCAAACCAACCATTGATAAAGTGCTACATAAGCGAACCCTCGGCGGTCAACTCGTCCACACTCTCGTCACCACTCTCGTCACCACTCTCCTCGTCATCGCTAACAATTTGCACGGTCCTCTAGGGAGTCGACCGAGTTCTCTTTTCCGGGCGGCCAGAGGCCGGAGCCGGAGTGGAGCGCTTGGCCGAACCCTTCGGACCGGCAGGAGCTTTTGGAGCAGGAGTCCTGACCTCCAGTTCAACCTCAGGTTCAGGACTGCCGATAACGCGGCGAAGTTCCTGCTGGGCCTTGCGAAATCGGGCCTCAGCATCGGCAACCCTTTTCTCTTTGGCAGCTAGAATCTTGGCGGCCTTCTCCGCCGCCTTCCTCTCCTCCGCCTCACGCTTCTTGGCAGCCGCGGCCTCCTTCTTGGCAGCGGCGCTCTCTTTGGCACCCACGACGGAGGTCACGGTGACCTCGGTGTTCTTGGAAATGTGAGACGACGACCGGCCGGCGGGGGCGCGGCCCGGGTAGCGTGCGCCTTGGAGGCGCGGGCGGACGGGTTTGTCACCGGCGAGGGCGTCCACCACAAGATCGGCGAGTTTGGAATTGACGGGAATGTCGGGGCGACCGCGAACCGGCTTGGTCTCATCTTCGCCGTTAAGAGGCTGATCGTACGGATCAGAGCCCAGGTTGAAAAGAGCGAGTCGAGCGCGTCGGCTTCCTGACAATGTATGATGTAACCGGGCTGTTGGGCCTCATGAAGGCCTCTTCGCGGAGCTCCTCTGTTATTTTGGGTTTACAGTTCGCTCGGCTGCCCCTAAGGATCGCTACCTGCCTTTAGTCTCACTGCCACTGCCGCGGGGAGCCCATCCGTCGGCCTTTAGACGGGTTCGTCATGCTGGACGGTGTTGGCGGCCTTGTAACTCTCGCTGTTGGGCACGCCCCAGTCGTCTGGTTTGCCGCCGCCCAGGCGGACGACGTCCTCGACGGCCATGGTATTGCCGTCGACTTCTTGCGCTGCTGTGCCCACGTACATGAAGGCCATCTCGACGTCGTGCGACTCCAAGAACTGATTCCTCTAGGCGTCTCCGGCGTGGCGTCCGGTGCCCCATGTAGCGATGGTGGGAGTGAAGGTAGGTGTGGTATTCCCTGCTCATGTTGGAGCAGGCTGGTCAGGTTAGAAGAAGAATACTGTGCATTTGCTGATGCAGCTCAAACGGCGCAGTTGTCCGTGGTACCCGGCCATCCTAACTTCAGCTCGGTTCGTTTATTTCGCTTGTATGTGCTTAGCTTCAAATAGTATTCGTCTGAAGGCTGAGATTGGGCATTGTTGGTTGGGATGGAATGGGCTTTGTGGAAGAAGAGTTATCGAGAGGGACGACGGAGAAGACGGCAGGGCGGGAAAGCACTAGGTCAGCGACTGGACGATAACGCACTTGCCATCCGCGTCAAGAGACAGGATGAAAGGGCTGTCGTTTGATGGCAGTCCCAACAACGCCCTTAGTGATTGACGCCCACTGTTCCCTTTGGTCTCATATTCAACCCCCTCGTCGCACGCCGCCAGTGATCCGAGTCTATCCCATTCTCGGTCCGAAAGCGGTCCCATGTGCCGAAACTCTTCAAGCAGGAACAACGCTGTTGTTTCGATGGCAGATTCATCATCAATCAGATAGAATGCACCGTTGTGAAGAACTTCACAGCAGCTTCTGCAAGCGGCGTTGATGCCAAACACCTGGCCGTCTCGTCCGACAAGGGTATCGATATTGTAGGTCCTGGCACTTTTGCGCCCTATGCACTGAAGCGCCTTCGTGGTCGAGAGCCGGTATAGTCCATCATCTTGACGTTTGTAGAAGATGCAGGGGTTGCTGTAAGGCGATGTCGCAGGCTGGGTGCCCGTCGACATGCTCATCAATATTTCGGCTGCCTCAATGACTGCAGCTTCTGGACTCTCTGCTATCGGGGTGACTGTTTCGGCGCCAGAATCTTGCGTCTCCGTCGCAGATGGTGAAGTCGGCATTGTACCGCAGAGATCGGATGAAGCCTCGGGATCGGTCAAGCATGGACCAAGAGGTATCTCGAATAAGTCAATGACAGCCTAACAAGGTGTTGGAATCAATCGAATGCCATATTCAATAACTATTTCAAGTCTGTGAAACAATGTTCAAAGATATATATGGTTTCTAGCAGTTCTTGCGGAGATAGCACGAGGCAACCAAGGTTAGGCACCTTCCTTTGGCTTTCACGACATGTCGAAGCCTCTTTCCACATCTGCCAGACCTTGGACAGCCTTCGGAACCCTGCTCTAGGCAATCAGTACCAGCTATCAGCGAAAAATCTGTGATTAGCTTTAGGTAAGAAACTGGAATTTTGCGGACCGCATTCTATATTTTTCCCATAAGCGAGTGCGTCGTCGAGTGTGACGTTCGCAATCAAGTGTGTAGTGTCAGGATCAACGAGAGCGAGGTAAAGCAGGGTTTTCCACCTCATAGATAGAAACACGAGGTAAAGCATGGGGCCAAACACCAGTGTCATGAGTACAGTGCCTCTAAGTCTAGGTAGTTTGTCTATCTGGAAGCTTCAGTGACAACGTTGATGATTTTGAGACCATCATGCCCACGTGACTGTATCGATACAATCTCAAAGCGGCGTTTGACGCTTGGGCCACCCGTAGCTGCCTAGGCACAGGCAAGCTCCCAAACAGTGACCGCATTACTGACGAACTCGACCCTCGTTGCGCATACGAACGATTGCCCAGGACCACGCTCCCAAGCCTACAACTGCGCGCGCCCGCAGCTCGACACCATGTCGGCCATATACAACCTCGAGCCACAGCCCACAGCATCCGCGATCCTGCACACGACCCAGGGCGACCTCTCCGTCGAGCTCTGGGCGAAGCAGGCCCCCCTCACATGTCGCAACTTTCTGCAGCTCGCCCTCGACGGCTACTACGACAATACAATCTTCCATCGGCTCATTCCGGGCTTCATTCTCCAGGGCGGCGACCCGACAGGGACTGGCAATGGCGGCGAGTCGATCTACGACGGCGGGGCGTTCAGCGATGAGCTGGACCCTTGGCCGATGGACGAGCGACGAGGCCAGAACGCCGGCCCTACCGGCGTGTGCTTCAAGGACGAGTTCCATTCGAGGCTAAAATTCAACCGTCGAGGCCTCTTAGGCATGGCCAACGAGAGCAAACCGGACACCAATGGCAGCCAGTTCTTCTTCACGCTCGACCAGACGGACGAACTGACGAACAAGAACACGCTGTTTGGGCGCATCATGGGTGACACGATTTACAACCTGGCCAAGATGGGCGAAGGCGAGGTCACGCCCGGCACAGATCGGCCGACCTACCCAGTCAAGATTACAAGTGTGGAGATCCTGGTCAACCCCTTTGAAGACATGGTCAAGCGGTCGCGCGTGGCAGCTCAAGCTCCAAAGACTGTCGTGGTAGAGCGCAAGAAGAAGAGGAAAGGCGGAAAGCAGCTCCTCAGCTTCGGTGACGAGGAAGGCGAAGGCGAGGTCACTCCCGCCTTTAAGAAGCCCAAATTCGACACGAGGATAGTGATGGACCTGGAGGAGGAGGAACCTAAGAAGATGGAGAAGAAGGGCAAGAAGACGGCCGAGTCACAACCTCAGGAGGCTGCCGCGGACCCTAAACCCGTACCGACTACCGAATTACACACGTCAGACGAGGAGGACAAACCACAAGCCAAGAAGGCTGCACCACCACAAAAAAGGCTCCCTGTCAAGATGGAGATTGAATCTTCTCCAGAGCCCGAGGAGAAGCCACAGAAGACAGCATTGGAGAAAGCCAACGAAGAGATCGCCGCGCTCAAGGCATCTATGAAACGGAATTTCCAGACGGAGCAGGCGCCACAGGCGAAAAAGAAGTCAGCACTCGAAAACATGATCCCAGAAACCTCCGTCAGGGGCAGGAAACGAAGGACGGGGGGCACCACGGTTACGCGGGAGGATCAGGCAGCCTTGGACCTGCTGAATGCCTTCAAATCAAAACTCGACCAGGTCCCGGCAGGGAAGGAGACGACGCATAGGCCAAAAGCGGACGAAGCCATTGACGACAAGGTTGCAAAGGGCGGCGATGACGAGGACACTGAACTATGCGATCTTCACTTTATTGTCAATTGCCAGAGCTGCAAAGCCTGGGACAAGGCCGGCCAGGACGAGGAGAGCGACGACGAGGGTTGGATGTCACAGGCCCTCAGTTTCAAGGCGGACAAGTTGGGCAAGGACCTGAGCTACCGCAAAAAGGCCGAGGAGGAGCTCGTGGTGATCGATCCGCGGGCCAAGGCGCGGACCCTTCAGGAGGAGAAGAAGGCCGAAAGGGAAGCTCGGTCGGGCAAGACTGGCAGGGAATGGGATCAGGCAAGAAATGCCAAAATGGCCAAGGCGTCTGCACTGGCGGGCCGAGGGGCCCGATAGGATGGATGGCCGCTGTAGTGATAGTGTTCGTCACCAACACAATGATGATACCCGTGGAGTTGAGGGCTTGAGAGTGCCAACTTCATCTGAGGCCCCACCCAACTTTGAACCAAGAGACTCCACCCTGAAGGGCATTTCTTAAAGCACGGATGACGTCGTGAGGACGGGGGTACTGATGATGATGTTATGACGCTGTGGGCCTTCCCAAGAGATTTTTCCCCCCTGCGTATTTGGTAGGACTGCCACGCTGGCGGGTTCGAGAGAAGCTCAGATGTCTATTGTTGATCGGCTGAGAAAGCCATGTACTTGCTGCCAAAGCTGCAGGCCCTCGTCAATGAGTTGCTGGCGATTGTTTCTGTCTTTTGTTTAGGACAATAAATTATGCAGATATCGAGACTGCTGCTTGCGTAAAGTCCCTAGCCTCAGCGCCCACGGTGGGGTAACGTCTCTCCCAATGCAAATCTCCGCGGCACCCACGGCGAAGGTAGGGATGATGACATGGCTCTCCATTGCATGTCATTGGATGAAATTCACCATGGTCGCCAAGGCCTAGTGGGAGGGACTGACTCTGTCTGGCCTCCGGACGCTTTTTCAATGTCCCGCAGCGGAGGCCACGGGCGGCCACCAGCGCATGGAGCACCTAAACTGACAGTCCCGGTGCCTTTGCCTGCCTTAACCTAGCGGGCGTGCCTTCACCCCATCTCATCACTTCGCCAGCCTGTGTTTCTTCCGGCGGACCAGCACAGCTCCAGTTCCTGGTGCTCATGCCACGTCACGACCGAAACCATCTTCGACAGCCTTGAGTAGTTGACACTCTGTTTCTTTGGCACAGATTCTTCAGCAGTTGGTTGGCCGTCATCTGACCGCTGCCTTGACAGCACTTTCCTGTACGGCACAGGCCTTTATTGGCACCCTGACAGGCGCGACACCAGAAAGCTGCACCGCAGCACCTCACTGCAGCCCACCCACACCCACTCACTTGCTGAGCAGCCATTGACCGCAGAACGGGCTGACCGACATCGTGTCGAGACCCTTCAACCCAGCCAGACTCCAGATCCAGCCATCACGCAGGCCTTTCACCTTCTCGCCGAGACACCGGTCCTTATTCTGGCGCCGACCCCTCCTGGCCCTTAGCTACCATCGCTTGCGACAAGGGCATCTCTTTGCTCGATAAGCATTACGCGACACCACTGTCGCGGATTGCTTTTTGATACAGCAGACATCTCCATCCAAAGCGAAACAACCCGAAGACTCTTCTGCAATTGACGCAGTATTTCAATTTCACAAAAGACTACAGGCAGGCACGTCACATCTGCTCTTTCTACAAACGTGACGCCAGGGAAGCACATAGACGGATTATTTAGACGGAAGGACGTCCATCGACCAAGTGCTGGATCGACCGGAATCTCCCCCACGACTTTCTCCAGAACTTCGGCGACACATCCTGCCCCGCGCGCAACGCATTTTTTTCTTCCCACGACCACGCGACAAGACTAGCAACGAAGAGAAGGTTGTGCTTTCGGCAGGTCGATCATCCTCCGCCCGCAACCCCGCAAGACACCGACGAGGCTCTGAGGCACTCCGCGTACCGCCTGCGCGTCTGCCAGTGAGGCTACAGGCTTCAACCCGGCTGCGCACCAGTACATACGAAATCGCGACGTTTCTGGTCAACCTCATATCGCTTTCCGAAACGTACATAGACAGCTTTATGTACAAATCCATGTCTCCATCGAACCCTCGAAAACGCCCTGCACCTGGTACCGCTCCGTCCATCCCCGTCCCTCCGATGGCGAACCAATTCCCGAGTCCGACGCCCAACGATTTGATGAGGTGGCATAACAGCGCAGATGCCGGCGGCTTTGTCGACGGCACGGCGCAGGGCGTGAACCCGTATGGCATGATGCCCCCGCAGTCGCAGCAGGCGTCGTCGCAGCAATCACAACAACCCTACGGCCAGCATCCGACCCCTAGTCCCAACAATGCTCTCGCACGGCGGCAGATGAACCGGGCGCTGGTTCCCACCGCCCAGCGCGGCAACTTTGACCCCAACGCCGACCCGTGGGCCTATGCGACTGACGACTCCTCTTCGCTTATCCAGCAACCGGGCAATGGTGCCATGAACGAGCAGGATAGTATTGAGGCGCTTGAGGAGGCTGCCCAAAAGGCAAAGCGCGAGTCGCAATCCAAGAGGAAACAAATTCCTCCCTTTGTCCAGAAGCTCAGCAGGTGAGATTTTGTCTCCCCGCCCGTTTCTCTGAACCGTGTCGCTGACTTGAAGCAGTTTTCTCGACGAGGAGAAGAACGTCGATCTGATCAGATGGTCTGACAAGGGCGATTCGTTCATCGTTCTCGATGAGGACGAATTCGCCAAGACGCTGATACCCGAGCTTTTCAAACACAACAATTATGCATCTTTTGTGCGGCAGCTCAACATGTACGGTTTTCACAAACGAGTCGGTCTGTCGGACAACTCGATGCGCGCAAGTGAGCGCAAAAACAAGAGTCCGAGCGAGTACTCAAACCCATACTTTCGACGAGGCCACCCTAATCTGCTGTGGCTGATCAACAAGCCCAAGAATGGCGGAGGCAAGGGCGGCAACAAGAAGGCCAAGGCACCAGAAGGCGAAGTAGAGAGCGAGGAAGAGGTGGGCTTTGACGAGAACTTGCCCCAGGGCCTGAACATCCCGGCTGCCGCGCAAACCACGCGAGCCCTGCCGCAGAGCAACATGCCACTGGAGAAAAAGGAAATGGCCATGATCAGGGAAGAACTGGCCAAGGTTCGCGATCAGCAAAAGATCATCCTCGGTGCCATCAACCGCATACAGCGAGAAAATGGAAACCTATACCAGCAGGCAGCCGTCTTTCAGGAGCAGCACGACCGCCATCAGAACTCGATCAACGCCATCCTCAACTTCCTTGCCAATGTCTTTAGGAAGACGCTGGAAGACCAGAACGGCTCGCAGAACGTCAACGAGCTGCTTGCGAGCATCATCCCTGGGTCTATGAACGGCACGATGCCTCAGGGCAGCGTCGTGACTTGGGGGATTTCGTGCAGGCGCAGACCAACGGCCCGAGCGGCATGGCCGCCCCGAAGCGGCGAGGGGTCTCCTGCCACCAATCCCCA